AAACCAGGAGACGAGTTCTAATTCCGGCTTAGGCACAAAAGCCAGCTGGGTGACTTTGGGCCAGTCACTCTCTCTCAGCCCAACTCACCTGACAGGGTGGTTGTAGTGGGAAAAATAGGAGGAGGAAAGGAGTATTAGATATGTTTGCCACCTTGAGTTATTTATAAAAATAACAAAGGTGGGTAAAACATTAAAAAAAGAAAAGGAAGAAAGCGGGGAGGAATTGGGATTCTGTATTATTTAAACCCGTGTGTGCATGTGGGTACAAGAAGTGAAATCCAAGTTCATTCCCATGAAAGTCTCTTGGTGCTCAGTCAAGTTTGCTCAACAACTCCTTGCCTGAGCAGCAATACCGCCCTCTCCCTGGCTGACAACGTGCTCTTGACAGCACACAAGGAAGAACAGATGATAGAATTACTCTGATGACAAAGCATACCTGCATCTTGAGATTCAATGGTGATAATGCCCTCTCTTTCAGGGCCAAAGCCTTGACTGGTCTTGGCTTGCACTTTGAACTTATATGGAACATTTTCACTCAGGTAGGGCACTGTAAGGGTGGTCTCTGGGTTATCCCCCTCCACATAGATATTCCTGGGTTCCCCTGAGCAAACAAAAATATAAACAACAGGTAGGAGACTTAAAAAAATAATACATACTTTGACCCCCATTCCCTCCTCATGCCAGACACTTTATTTCAGGGGATTCCTATGGCTTTGTTACACAGAAGGAGCCCAGGGGCTGTCCTGCTCTCGTCTACAAATCAGGAAATGCTGTACAACAGCCAGGGGAGTTGTGCAGCTGAAGTGGAATTTGATTCAAAATGCTGACATACCTCCACCATGCAGTGTCTCGCAAGTGACCATATAGCCCAGAATGAAGCCATTGGGTTGCCGGGGTCTCTCCCAGCTTAGCTGAAGTGAGTCTGGACTCAAGGCTGTGAATACAAGAGGCCCTGGGGCACTGGGAGTGCTCAGGGTAAATGGTGACCCTGTCGAATAAAGAAAAATGGTCAGAGTTCTGTTAGAAAAAAATCGAGCCAGTGGCAAGCAGAGGCATGGGCCAAAGTTCAAAGATTGAAGTCTGTAACACATTTGGGCTTTTCAAATATCTTACACATTTGTTGTTGTTAAATCAAGAAAGCTAACCCAATTATATTTGAAATTTCCAGGAAGTGAAATGCCACTCAAGATTCAATGTAGTATAGTGGCTGAATGTTCGACTGGCACTGGGGAAGTCCCTACTCAACTATGGAGTTGAGTTGGAGCACTCTCTCCTTAGCCTAACCTACATTAATTTTAAAATAAGAAGAAGACATTCTTACCTCTGTCTCCTTGAACTCCCAGAAGTAAGGTAGAATAAGAACAATGCATTGTTTTCATGCAGAATAAGCATAGATCTACTCTGACCCCCTTCTCCAAAAAGGCACAGCTGAAAATCAACATTTGGAAATATCCATGCAATTGTAAACACTTCAAAAGAATGAACAGCAGATTACCTGGCACAGGACTAAGAGGGCTGCGTGGATCCACCTGTGACTCGATGGTTATCACGCCTTCTCTTTCTGGACCCCATCCCTCATCACTTTGGGCCTTTACTTTGAAGACATAGGAGTGGTTAGGTAATAGATCATCCACGACCACAGAGTTCTGCACTGGATTGGGAATTGTAAGTCTTTTTATTTCACCTAAGAAATGGGAGAAAAACCAACTGTCACTCACAAGCTATGAAGATCAAAACTGCAGCCTTTATTGGCAGAATGGGTTCTACTATTGAATGCAGTAGGCTGAGTGCTACAAGTCACACCTTGAGGCAACTACATGTATGCTATTTGTTCAGAAATAATTGTGAACGTTTCATGCAAAATTCTTCACACAATAGCAATGTAGCCAGTTTTACTCCGTTTATGCTTCCACATCAACAGAAAAACCGCAGTTTTGTCTCTTTAGTAACACGTATCTCAGAGAAAAGAAAAAGAAAACCAAAGCCGTTGATTCTGCCAGTGGTTTACTTGGGAATCATGGACTTTACACATTTTGAATTTAGTGTTTTTCGTCAGGACCCAAATTCACATCACCCCTATTCCAGTAAAATAGCTGTCTTCTAACAGATTCTTGCATGATATATTAGAAAACATTATTCAGCAGATACAGAAATAACTATGAAGTTTCTGCCCCTGCTCGGGTTTGTGGAAACATCTGGAAGACATCAGGTCAATGAAATTTGTTTGAGCAGTTAGGAAATATACCTCAACAATAAGAAACACCATGGGGGGGGGGATTTACTTCCATGTTACAAATCATGTTCTGATTGTTCTAGAATGGTGCTTTTTGACAAAACAGGATTTTCATATTCCTGATACCCACTTCAACCACAGAGGGAGCTTCACTGACCTCCGCTGAGGAGCTGGTACTGCACACTGTATCCTTGCACTTCTTTATCACAGTGGGGCTCCTGCCAGCTGACTTTCAGGGAGGTTGGCCCCAAGGCAGAGAACACCAAGCGAGTAGGAGTGTCTGGAACACTCAGAAGCTGCATTCTGGAATCTGAGGCAGAGAGAGAAGAGCAGGATTGGATATGAATGCAGGGAAAGGACCAAATGCAATCTTCCACGTGAGCATGAGGACTCCTTTTGTGTCAAAGAAGAGCAAGAGTTGTTGAGAATCTAGTCAGAAGATATTTAGATGTTGAAGTAAACAGCAGGGCTCAGGAATCATTTTAATTTGACAGTGAATGAAAAGAGCACCTCAGCCACATTGTGTGGTAACATGCAGCAGGAAAAGAGGAGATTTGGTTTTGTCAAGGAAGCATTTCTTTTTCTTGTTCCCAGAACCTGGGTCCCCAGGGCAGGACAAGGTCCTGTATGGAGGCCAGGTTAAACTCATCCACCCTGACCCACCAGGCCCTAGCTGATCAGTACTTCATGGACATCTTCAGAGTGAGTGTGGCCCCTGGCCTTCTAGGGCTGGGGAAGACAAAATGCACCCTGGACTGTTCGTTTTGCAGAGCTCTTGGTACTCTAAGCTTGGTTGTTTACTTGCAGACATTTCATTACCCAACTAGGTAACCTCAGCAGTGCGAGTGTATGTGGGGTTTGCTGTCTGTTTATATATAGTAGCTTGCCCTGAAAGTTTGGGTGGGGTGTGGTTTCCTCCTTGGTGATTCTGTGATTAGAGTATTGTTTTCTGTCTGATTGTTTCTGTTGGTGTTAATCCCTGCTTATCTGAATATGGGCTGCTGGAGACAATGTCTTTTTGTTTCCTTCTTAGGTTTTTTATTGTATCTTTGGAATGGTGTATATATATAGTTTATCTCTATGTTTCTATTGATGGCTGATTTGTCTGAATGCCCTAGGAATTCCCTAGCATTTTTCAGTTTGACTTGGTCTATGATGCTAATAGTTTCCCAATTAAAACTGTGGTTGAGTCTATCTATGTGTTGTGAGATTAAAGAGTTCTTGTCATGACTTTTTACTGCTAGCTTGTATTTGTGGATGCTCTCTGCTAGTCTTCTGCCTCCCTGTCCTACATAGTGGCTGTTACAGTCCTTGCATTGTATGTTATGGATGATTCCTGTTCTATCTTTTTCTGTTTGTTTTGCCCTAATGTCATTCAGAACAGGAAGGGGACAATTAAATGTAGCCATGATGGCAGTTGCTCTGTACCCCCAAGTCAGAACTGGAGAAATGGAAGACAAAATGATATAGCAATTATCATCTGAACTGCAGCAATTCTTGGGGTGCCTCCATTATGAGGGATGGGATTGCTTTCCATGCAGCTCGAGACACAGAAGAATTGCAGATTGCTGAGGATACTGCCTGAGCACTAATTTCTTTGAGTATGTAGTACAGCAACTGAAATGATGCGGTCAGAACATGAACGCCATCAATGTGAAAGAGGTGGAAGGTTAGAGGGCAAACCAAATTGGCACATGCACACAAGCAGGTCTATAAGCAAAGCCAGTCATAGGAACTTAACATGGATAAATTAGCAGCTTATTAGATGAGTCACTGGAGCTGGAGCAAACACCCTCGCAGATGAACAGCCATGCTATGCCGTTTGCTGTACCTAGGTATTTGGAAATCCAAGAGGGCCCATCAGTCATGACTATAGAATCCCGAGCATCACTGCTGTCATAGTAACCCATCACATTTGCCCTCCTAAAGCCCACATCCTGTGGTATCTGGAGTATCCTCCTAGTTTCTTCATATATGGGAGAGACAACCTTCTTGGATGGGTCTAAAGGACATGCCAAAACAGAGAGAGAGAAAGACACACCATTGAGAGCACCAGAAAAGATTGCAGCACCATCACCAGGCACAGTGACTGAAGGAATAGTCTGAGGAAGAAGGGATGACTTTTCTTTTCCAGTGGTAACTGGCATGAGAGACAAAGTGAGAGAGGAAGAGCTCCATCCTTCTGATGGAGCACTGAACATTATCAAATCACCAACAGATTAGTCCACATTAGTCACTCACCCTGTCCAGACATCGTGGTATACTCTCTTGTTAGTGATGAGTTTCCTATCACTCTTCTCTCATAGTGCACATGTGGACTTAGATGATTTCGGGTTAAACTTCCACCACTGCCAGGGAAGGCAATATCCAGTCGGCCATTCATCATATGTTCTGGAAATGATCCAGTTTGCTACAGTTAATATTCATCATCAGTAACTATGGATATGCATCTCAGCCAAGTTAATTAATATGAGACTTGACAATAAAGTTCTCTTAGAATGGCTGGGCTCACACTCTGTGCTAAGCCATAATGTGGTTTAATTTTTACTTAGTGAACCCAAACACTGTGGTTCATATACCAAGGTTCTGGGCAGCATGTTGCATGAAACCAGCCAATTGTGGTTAACTTCAACAATCCATGTTTAAGTCAAATAAATGGCTCAGCAGGATGCGTGAACTCAAAAGTTTCTAGCATCAAACCACAACCACGTGCCCCCAATATATTGATTTCAGTTTTATTATTCCCAACCAGACATGTTGGCTGCAGATTAATGGATTCAAAGCTGAAGACACTTGAAGAGCACCAGTTTGGGAAAGGCTGGCCTCGGCTTTATTCTGCTCCTTATCTAGAATGTGCGTTCTAGGCTTCAGAACCACCAACATCCCTTGCATGGCATCATTTAAACCCACAATGAACAAAGAAGCATCAATATCAGAACTAAACAGGCTGAAAGGACAAACAGTAATAGAGCAAGGGTTAGGTAGGTCAGAAGGTGGCTTCATGTATGCCAAATGATGTACCAAATGCTAAAGAACATGATATTCAAGTAAGGCTATATTTTTTTAAGGATAATGTTATTTCCACTTAATTCTACTTTAAAACAGCAATCACAAGTTCCAGGCTCTTGGACAAGACAAGACATGACTATAATTGCTAGAAATGTTACAGCATTCATTAGACAGTTTCATGTAAGACTAATATACCCAAGTATCTGAATAGCTAGAGAATCTCCATATTCAGAGGCATTATACATGCTGGAGCCAGATATTAATAACAAACACTCTGGCTGGCCATCTCTTTTTTCTGTTTTTGAGTCCTTCAGTCGACTCAATTAACCACTGTTGGAAACAATGCAGGGCAAGATGGAGAGACATTCTAAAATGAATTACAGAAAATGTTCATGGAAAGGCACTGGTTCTGTCTCAATGGCCCTAAGAACGTACTGAATTTCTTAACAGCCATTGGAATAGTTGGTTGATTACACAATGTAATATCCCCTATCTGGTATTGTTTAGATGTTTAGGGCAACAGGTTCCATCAAGAAGAATGATAGAAACTGTCACATGAAACATCTGGAACGTACCAGGATGGTGAAAGTTCACCAAGTTTAGCATGTTCAAGAAAATCATAGCTATACTTAGAAATTGGATCCTTCTGAAATATCTTAACACAAGAAATTATATAAGTCTGCCCTGAATATTATATTGATTCATTGGGTTCATATGTTCTGCTAAGCAATAATATGGATCATTTGGTTTGTTTCAATGTAATGTGCAAATAAGGATGTCTGGTTTGTTTGTGGTTGATTTGCTTATCCTTGGTTTGTTTTTATGGCCTGCCCAAAGTCCCTAGCTTAGTTCACAAAATGTGCAACAAAAATGACTAAAGCACAAGGGAAAACAAATCAGCAATTGTCCAAATATGCTACCACAATTTTTAGCCCACCTGGAACATGGCTTTGTTCAGCAAACCATGGTTAAAAGAAACGGTGGCTTACTGTAATATGTAAATGCACCCATTATCTAGTATATTTCTGGGCACCTGGTTATTTTGTCAAAAACATAGAAACAATTCCTTTTGATAAATGCTTTATTAAAAACATTTATTCTTGCTATGGATTGTTGATTCAGAATTAAGCAAGTTTAACAGAGGGCTACTTGGCATTTAAAATTATTCTTTTGCATAATGAAAATAGCCACATCGTGCCCAAAACTGGACTATGCTGTGAAAATGTATTTCTATTTCATTGTCTTCTTGACAGGGCCAAAAAAACTTAACTATCACTGTTGAGACAGACTTTTCTTGAACTTTCAGAGGGTGCTGTAGCAGATAGCACTGTTTTCTTATGCTAATGGGATTCCAGTTTGGGGGAGGGCTTCCAAATGCTGCTGGGGGCTTCCTTGGGTATAATCTATTGGGGGATGAATGCCAGTGGTGGGAAGGGCTGAAGGAAATAGTGGGTGGCACCATCCAGTCTCCATCTTTCTGACCACCAGTTTTTTCTCTTTCTTCTTCTCCTCCCGAATAGCTGGCTGCCAAGAAGGAAAAGGACTCTTATTAGATGTCTGAAGTGACTGCTTGCAGAGGGCTTTTGAAATTGCTTTGTGGGCTACATGAAGGGCAGAAATGGGCAACACGTGTCCACCCAGAATTCTCTGTCTTGCTTTACAGATGCCACCTCTTTGCACTTCCCATTCCATTCCATTCCATGCCTAGGATAGCACTGACCTTGGCGCAAAGTAACCAATCACAACATACCACAAGCAGATTCCATTACAAGTGCTAAATGTATCATGCCATCAACAGGTGCATGTATCTAGTATAGGGATAACTTGAATAAGTTATATTCCAGGCCCTTGGAGTAGGATGAGACATCATGGTTACTGGGAGGGAGGAAGGCGGCCATCCTTCACCTGGTTGGGGCTGGGGAGTCCCACTCCTTGGTAGACTGCCGCTGGCTGCACCACTGTCCACTAGCTCAGCGGGGGTGCTATCCTCATGGAGGAGACCCTCTGTGTCCGAGGAAAAGCAACTGCTGTCCGAGTAACGAGGGATCAGTTCTGCTGGGAGCCTCCAGGCGACGCGACGAAGGTCCAGCTCATCCCCCAGCAGCTGCACATATTTCCATCGAGAGCCTTTTGGAACAAGTGAAGGACTTGCGTTGGCACAGTCAGAAGAGTGCAGGAAGCGCCATAAGGGGTGCAAAGCAGGCGATCCACCACCTGCAAGCTACCTGCAGTCATGCCTTAGTCTCTCCTAGCAGCAATTTAGGGGAAAGCACAGCGTTCAAGAGCTCTTGCTGCAGTCTTGAAAGGAGTCTGCTACTTATGCACTGTACCAACTGTACCTGTGCTCAAATTATGAGTGGAGACCCAAGCAGGATCCATAAGGTCCACTCTCATATTCTTACCAATTATAGTCAAATTATGACATCCCACCTAAAAAAAAAAAAGCACTCTAGAAGCAGCAGGTCATAGGATTGGGGATGGACTCCCTTTACCCTCTACCTCCAATAAATACAACCATTGGATGATAAATGAAAAAAATTACAATTAGGTTTAAAGTCACATTAGCCAGGAACAAGTAATACCTAGTAGTTGTCTGGGAATCTCTGAACCCCAGCATTTCCAAACTGGGAGCAAGAGTTAGTTTCTCAAACTGCCTTATTTGCCCTAAGTTCATCATGAAGCCTTAGTTACCATCAGATATTGATTGATTTATTCAATGTGTAGCAGGACCCCAAAAATCTATGTATATCCTATGCAGAGCTACCTGGAAACAAGTTGCATTGAGTTAATTCAGTAGGACTTATCCCAAGTATGCATATATAAGAGTTCAATGTAAGAATAGAAGGGGGAAATCACTTCCAGACTTTCTGTATCATTTCAGTAGCTTATACAAAATGGCTATGCAACATAACTGTAGGGCAGCTGAATCTTGCTGCATTCAGTTGTGGTTATGCCCAAATAAATCCATCTATACACAGTATTACCCTGACCTTAAAATCACATTATTATTCTTATCATGTAACTGTCCATACACACACACAGCAGAACTGAAGCATTAATTTATAACATGAAAGATCGGAACATCACTGTGCTTGCTGAAGCATTTTTTTCAAATTGCACAATTACATAAAAAGAACAGGTTCTTCAAAGCCCTTGAGCTGTATGGAAGCTATTGTATCCACCCCTCTCGTTCTAGTAGCAATCAGTGCTCATGTCAGAAAATTAGAACTCTGTCTTACGAGAAATGGGCAGTTCCATTTCAGTTCAAGACAATGCAGTTTATTAACATCTGTAGTAGCTGGAGTGGCTTGTTCTCAAATTAAAGAATGAAAAAAGAATAATCAAGGGATAAGTAAAGAGGAGCCACCTACTTCATGGAAGGTTATTTCCAAAACCGAATACAAAGAAAGCTGAAGGAACGGCTAAAATGGGAAGGTATGACCAAAGTAATGCGTGGGAGAACTACACTTTACAGCACACAGACAGTCCAGAAAGAACAAATTCTTTAAGGAGAGCCAGATAGGAAGGAAACAAAACATATTCTTTGAACAGCAGAATCCAAGGAAGGAAACAGCTAACAGGAACAGTTTTGCTATTTGACCTTTGAAAACTGAGATACTTCAGTATCTTTAAATATCCTTAACTCATACTCACACAGAAAAATATTTTAACATAATGTATCTGATGGTTTTAACATTCAGGATATTTTATTATGTATTGCCATCAAGATCTTTTGCTTTAAAAATGCACAATATTCCCATGGTCTACTTTCCTCCTGAATTATTTACATTGTAGCTTGGCTCAAATAAGTCACAATATGGAGTCACAGGTGTAAGCAGTATGTGTTCTTGTTCACCCCCAAAAAACCTTTGTGGCAAGGAGTAGAGAGGGGTAATTTTCAGAAGTAAGCTTTAGTGATTAAAAAAAAAAGATGACTAGGAATTGGAACTAAATGCTGAACCAAAGCCAAATGTAAAGATAATACCTGGGATCTGCACATCTCTTGTTTTGGTGTTTATTTTGTGTTTTTAGTGCAATGGTTTTTTCCAGCAATTCCAGAACAAAACCACAACTGTTCAATCAATTTGTCATGACTGATCCAGAATCCTCATAGGGTTTCATTTTGCCCAGAGTTCAATCCTCAGAACCTGCTCTTAATGTTACAGATGAATCCTGAAACACATCCAGAGCTAATTAGAAAAAAAGAAGATCCCTCATCACCACTGAATAACTGTCAGTCTTCCCTCAGCTTATATATGGTGAGAAGGAAAGGCTTTTAAAGTCAAAGGTGTGGCAGCAAAGTATATTTGAATCTTATTTTGAAGAAAGGACCATACACCTAAATACAGTAACTTACAAACTAGTTGTTATGTATAGTTTGTTTATCTGACTTTAGAAAAGGCAATAATTTTGAAACTCTGTGATGGACAGTATGCTTCTCTATCTACTACGCAGGTCAAAATGAGAATGTTGCTGGACGACAGGGTCCCATGGCATAAATGGCCTGGGCTGATGGGACTAAGAACTGGTTTACCAACATAGGCTCCCCACCTCTGGCACAGATAATGGGATATGGTCCTTAACCTTTTTGTCCTGGCTTATGTTACTACGCTTCCAGTTTTGGAAGGCATATTTCAGTTTCTGGATTTGTATTACCTCAACGACCGATAGCAGTTAACCAGAAAACGTGAAAATAAAAAAGGAGCTGTTGAAGTAATTCGTTTAGACACCCCCAACCTGAACTTTCCATTCCAGAGAAGCAGACGGCGAAGGCATTCCAATGAGTTGTGCCTATGACTGTTGGGTCTAGACGGAAGCGATTGTTTGCTATTTTGCTGCATTAGAGGAGGCAACTGAAGTGCAAGTACAGGAAGAATTTACTGCCCTATTTCACTATCAGGGGTTGATAAACCACCAAACAGAAAACTTCCACTGCAAAAATATGCGCATGGACATTCTGAAATATGAGACCTCCACACAACACATTCCTCAGATTTTCTATAGAGTCTAACCGACCAAGAAAGAGCGCAGGTCAGGTCTAGCATCCTAATTTCCACATGGACCAACCAGACGCCTCCAGAGGCACCTGAGTGCCTTCATTATAGCATTCTGGAATTTATTTAGTTATTTGTTTATTTGATTTCTGTAGCTGCCCATCTCAACCAGGGACCCTGGGCAGCGTACAATAATAAAAACCAAAAACAATTAAAACAATACAAATAAATATATATGGTCGCTGAGTAAAGCTATTGCCCTAGGTGTTAATATAGCCAAGAAACAGGGTCCAGGGCACATAACCAGGTCTTCACAGCCCTACAAAAGGCCAACAGGGTCATGTTCATCCTAATCTCTGCAGGGAGAATATTCCAGAGGGCAGGGGCTACGGCACAGAAGACACGTCTCCTAGTCCCCACCAGCCGACATTCCTTAGCTGATGTCCAACCTGCCAGACCAGATTGGACAGGTAGAAACAACTGGGAGAAGACAGTCAGGTAACCCAGTCCCAAGACATTATTTATTTATTTTAGTCTAGAAGGCACTCTTGAGGCTGTTAAATAGGTTGGACTTGATAGCCTAAATGGCTCCTTTGAACTTTGCATTTCTGTTATTCTTACCTTGGCATTTTCTCATAGAACTTCTGGAAGCAATAATACTCCTCTGCCTTAAGGTATGTTTGCTTCAAAACAATAGGAAAAGTATTTGCTAGCTGGCTAAAATGGTGCTCTGCATGTTCAAATTGTTTTGTATTATCCTCGTATTTACATTTTCTCTTATCCCTAAGGATCTATATGTCATAAACAAATTGGCCAAACAGCTACAGCTACAACAACCCATACTGTACCAGAGTCATCTGAGACGCTGGGATGCTTGCTACCAGCTGGTGAACGCAGTACATCTGTGCTGTACATTAGATAGCTATCATAGTCCTCTCTTCCTTGTGCATCAATTATTGGTACATCAGGAATGATGGGAACTGCAAAAAGGTAATAGAAAATGTGAGTTGGATTTTTTGATACCTTCAAACTTAATGAATCCCAACCATACTTTATATCAATATACTGTTCGATCTAGTACTTTGATCTAATATGAGGCATAGTTTCACTGGAGAAAAGTATGCCAGCTTTGAAGTTCTTTGATTTAAAAAATATATAAGTTGGGATAAGCGTACTAGAATTTGGTTGAATAGTGGGATATATTTAGCATATACCATTAATTCATTAAGTTAAAAGAATATTAATACACAGTTTGTTCCCTGTTACCAGTGATATCACATTGAACAGCAAATATATGCCAGAAGATAAAGTTTTCTAAATGCAGAATATAATACCGCTTGTGTAATACCCATACAATAGAAGCACACACTCAGAGGAATACATCTTGAAAATCTTGCATTAGTTCACATCCAAAACAAAAATCCTACATAGCAGAAGCTTGACTATCGCATTTGAAAAGCTATGATAAAAACTCACTGGACATAGGGCGTTTTGGCTGTGTAGCCAAGTTAATAGTAGCTTCTCTTTCTGGCCCCCATCCAGCTCCATTCTTGGCCTTCACTGTATAGCGGTAAGGCTGAGATTCCCGTAAATTTTCAATCAGAACCATCCGCTTCTTAGGGTCCTCCACCAAGACTTTCTTTATGGGACCAATGGGTCCTGCAAAACATATATATTTCTGGTAACTATTCCTTTTCAGTTGTTGATAGATGATAGGTAGGTAAGTAGATCGGTAGATAGATAGATAGATAGATAGATAGATAGATAGATAGATAGATAGATAGATAGATTTGAATTCTCAGCATTGAAGCTTGTTTCTTGCCATTTTATCACCATGTCATTACAATCACAGTCATTTCTGATGACATACTATGCAATAGGATTCAGCGGTCCAACTCTAGTAATATGCATACGTGCATGATAGAGTACTTTACAGGAGTAGAAAAACTCTCATGCATAAGAAGAACTACAGCAAAATCATTGCCTCCCATTCTGAACATGAAAATGTATCCAATAGAGGAAAGCAAAAATGTATGTCGGTAACTATTATTGTTATTATCATTAGATTTTTATCCCACTTTTTTTTTTTTTAATATATTTGGTCAACTAATACTCCTCCCTACTATTTTCCCCACAGCAACCACCCTGTGAGGTGAGTTGGGCTGAGAGGGACTGGCCCAAAGTCACCCGGCCGGCTTTCATGCCTAAGGGAGGCCTAGAGCTCACCACCCCCTGGTTTCTAGGCCAGCCCCTTCACCACTACACCAAATTGGCTCTCAATGTCATTTTGGATTGGCAGAATCAATCTAATGGTCCCTTTTCAATGGGCAAAGGGTTTTATATGAGGAAATAAGCACCAGGGTAGAGCAGCCAATCTATCCTGTAAAACTGGCTATCTGAATCTTAAAAAAGGATAATTAGATACACTGAAGTATCAGCAAGGACAGTGTTATTTTCTAACTGGACTGAGCCTAAAATCTCTTTGTAAAGCAAAAATTTGAAAAGTAAATTACAGGAAAGAGATAGCATTGAATGACAGAAGTCCAGGCACTGTGGGAACTACCACTGTGGAAACAGTTGAATGCCATAATTCATGGAATGAAAGGCAAAGAGCACAACTGTGTAAAGCTATGAACTCCTCAAGGTTAACACAATAGATTAAAAAAAAAAAGTTCTCAGGAAAGCAAATGCCGTGGAAGTTAAATGAAAATATTAATTGGGATAGGGCTTTTCATTAGGGGAATTTGTAAAACACCAGGAATGTATTTGGGCTGCAAAAAAAACCTGCGCAATTCAATAAGAAGTCTAAGCAAGAGAGGCAAAACTAAGCTTTACATGCAGATCAACCAACTGAATTAAAGCTAATATCCAAACTGCGAGGCAGGAGGGGAGGTGTTTAATACTTCCTATCATCACCACTTTGGGGTTTTAAAGTCTGCAGCCTGGAGTCAGTTTTGTTATCACAGATTTCAAGAGTGACGCCCACCAGTGGTGCCTTCTAAATGCATGCAACTGAATTACTACCATGAAGATATTAAGCAGTTTAACCAGGACCCATGATTTTTAAGGATAGCCCCCCGAATCCATGCTTACTGTTTTCCTCGTTGACGAGTCCATAGCTGACCTCATAAGCTGTGATCATGCCATTTGTTTCTGCAGGCTCAGCCCAGCTCAGCTGCGTCACAGTGGAGGAGATGACGTTGAAGGCCAAACGCCCAGGCTCACTCGGAACTACAGAGATGGAATGTAAAAACAAACAAACATACAGTACAGGGAAGTTCCAATGCCCCTAGAATGCCCTGAGGGAAGAATATGAAGAGCTAGCTGCAGGAAGCTGGCAATAGCACAAGAGCTATGTAATACAGTAATTTTAGATCAGATGCCCTAAAAATGAACCAAGTGCTTAAGACAGGAACATTTTCAATGGACTGGTCCTGATAGGAATTCTAAATTTACCACCTAGAGTTTGATAGGTAAGTGTATATTAGTACTGGGAATGAATGAATGAATGAATAAATAAATGTAATTTGTTCGCTGTTTTCTGGGGAACAGTATTTTGAGAGAACAACAATGGTTCAGAAAGTTCAGGTGGAAGACAAGCAGTTCTGACATAATTTGGTTTTCTCTCTTCTACTCCTGATGAACATACTTAAATTATAATACCTGGATAGTCTGGGCAAGACACTATAGTTCCAAAGCTAAGAAATTGATTCAGTATGAAAGATGCAGGCTGCAATCATATATATAATTTAGGAATAGATCCTAGTGAACTTATATTTCAGTGGGCAACATATAGGGGTTTATATGCTGGTGGTTTTGAGTGGAACCTTTCTATAAAAGTGTCTTCCCTGGGCAAATTTCATTCCTGTTTTTCTCTTGCCCATACATGTCAGTCAATAATTAATGGGACATTTACAATACAAAATACAATACAAAATACTTTAATGACCAAGTATAAAATATATACAAGGAAGGAAGAATGTTACTTCTCTAACATGCAGTCCTCTACATGTCCTTTATTCGGACAATAGTAAGCCCCACTGAGTTCAATGGAACTTACTCCTAAATAAGTGTCAAAGTGTAAACCAGGTTATAGTCTGAATCTTCTGTAGAGAATCATTTGTTTTCATTAATTTTTTTTTAATTTTTTCTATTTACTATTTTTCTATTCACTATATCAGTGTTTCTCAACTTCAGCAGCTTTGAGATGTGTGGACTTCAACTGGCTGGGGAATTCTAGGACTTGAAGTCCACACATCTCACAGCTGCTGAGGTTGAGAAACACTGGACTATACCATGGAAGGACTATAGAATCCTTAATGGAACTGATTTCAATACACACAGCAGAAATGCTCTTTGTCATTTGTTTCCCAACTGCTCCTTATAAAGTTAGTATACTGCTGAGTAGGATTGTGCCAAGATGGTCTGAGGCAGTACTGGACTTATACCATTCATATAAAGCTACAGGAACATTGTAGACGTTGAACTAAGGGGCAGTGGCATCTGCAGGAGCTTGCTATCTTCAGCCGAATGACAAAGAATGAAAGACTGGAACTTGCTGCTATCATTCCCTTGCAACACTGACAAATTTGGGATATTTGGGAACAGGGGTAAAATTGACAAGAGTTCTGATGGTTTCTTCTCCCAGCCCAAGTGACAGGAAGAACTGGTGCTTCCCCCCCCCCTCCCAAAATTGACCAGTTTCTCCTCCTAGCTGAAGTAAGGAAAACGATGATTTTCCTCTACCACCAACAATCCATCAGTGAAATGCTTATCTTTTTTGAGCAAGCAACTTCTATACAGAGGAAAGGGTTGAACTAGAGGTCTTCTAAGGTCATTCCCAACTAAATTTTAGGATTCTATGACCGCTGGAACTGTTTACTTATGCAGATGGAAACCACATGCCCTCAAAGTTCTATACACAGAAAAGAAAGTGATTGGCATTTGCTTTCCTGATATGGGTGGGAAAGGTAAAGCAGCAAGGAAATCCTGCAACTGGGGCTATTGTAACCATTATTTGGACAAAGCACCTGATGGCATTGCTGGCAAAGCTTGAAATCCAGGCAGTGATTTCTGAAGCTGGCTTTATTTCCATCCAGGATCACATGGGAGACAAGCAGGTTAAGGCTGCTGTGTAAAAATTATGGAAAAGCTAGTTTACAGGTTGCACAGCTATTCCAGATAAGGAATCTTTGCCAGCTAGTTCTTTGGTACTTAATTAATTAATTAATTAATTAATTCAATTTTGCGGCCGTCTGCCTCCCCAGTGACTCTGAATGGGTTACTATTAAAAAAGAAAGAAACAATAGACATAGAAAAAGTCATAGCCAGCCAGAAGCTACTTTAATAATGGTAAACAACAACAACAGCACAAAACAAACTCTTATAGGGACTCCACATTCACCCTATCCCACAGCCTGGGAGAACAATCAGGTTTTTAATGATTGTCTGATCATAATTTGGGTGGGAGCCATATGGATCTCTGGGAGTGATGACATTCCAGAGGGCAAGTGCTGCACAGAATCAGCCATTTCCTGGTCCCATAAGGTGACCCTGTTTCATTGTCAGGACCCGGAGCACACAGGCTCTGCCTGATCTCACTGGATGGGCAGAAATAATCAGATTCTAACTCCAGTTTAAAACTCTGGACACTTCAACATAATCTTCCTGACCAGTACCCTGTCTTGAGCTTCTCTATCCAGTTCATCTGAATACAATTCATGAGTATACTGAACCCTTTCCCTGATGCTTGATGGATTAGGCTTGCAGAAGGGAGTCCTTAGATAGTCCTGTTTTCAAACAAACTTTGCGGGATGCAACAACTTACCTTCCTCAAGTGTTCGACAGTGGACCACCTTAGAATAAAGCCCTTCACCCAAAGCATTATAGGCACAGGATTGCATTTCATAATCGCAGTAGGGGTATAGGTTGGTCAGCTCTGCCGAAGGTACTTTGGAATCAAGCAGATGAGCCTCTGATTCAGGATCTCCTTGGATCCAATATTTCACCTGCAGTCCAAAGAGAAACCCTTTTCCTTTTAAAACCTTGCATCAGCTGCCAAGAAGTATTTACCATCACATTACTAAAAAAAATAAACTAAGAACATTCTCATTCAAAAATGTTACTATTCCTAAAACATAAGAGTGGAATAAACCACAGCTCTGCAATGCAGTGCTACAGTCTTACAAGATGTTCTTTTTATCCAATGCTTCAAAACTTAGTGAACCTAGCCATTGCATTTTTAGCAATTATCCTAGAGCCAGCCCTGGAAGATTAAGATGCACATACCCAAATTTACCATGGTAAACTTTAAGACTGTTTTCTCTTGTTTCTGTAAAGGAGGGATTCACCAAATCAATTTAGAATACAATCTATGGTGAGATACTGACATGGTCATTTAATACCACATTGAATAATGTACAGGCCTAACAGGCAGTACTTATTCTGACTCTTCCAACATTCTGCTTTTTCCCACATTCCTCAGGTGGCAAATTCTACAAGCCTGATATCATCAGCTACACGGGGGAAGACTGGCTTAGAGTTAACATTGCTTGCATATTGTTGGCAGCTTAAAGCCACACTTGATGTTTTGGGGCTATTTGGAGACATAGAAACTAGAAAAATCAAACAGAATGGGCAGAGTCACGTCATACATATATATGGGGCTGCAATCTTCTATTTTTTGCCAGGGAACTAGGAGGAGAGGTGGGGTTTTATTTGATTTTAAATCCAGGTCCAGTTGTATCAGAACTTAGGTTACAGTTTTGTTTGTTTCTCATGTCAAAATGATGTGACACTATGGCTCTGATTTTCAGCAATTATGCATATCTGAGTTGGTAGAATATGAGCAACAGTATATCAGCTTGTAAGGTAGTTTCTAGATCAGAGATTCCAGCTTGCATAGAATAGTGTGAGAATGTTTTGAGTAAAATCGAACTTAGGTCGTATTTGTGTACATACGTATTTATGTATGTATGGGGCTTATAGGTTGCTCTAATCAGAACCAACTCTAAGTGGTATACAATGATTTGCAGCATCCTGACCAAAATGTGCCAAAACTGATCAGTACCATCCTTACCATTAGCAGGAAATGTTACTATGGGTATGAACTAATGCTGGTAATCTAGTCTACATAAATATTTTCTATTTTACTAAAAAGCATTACAAAAAGTTTCAGTTAACCAAAGACATGATGGGTGGCAGAGGCCAATATCTATGGGCCCATCTGATGATGACCATGGTATATGGAAGACTGCACTTAACGCATAAGAGGAGTAAACATTAAGGAACATGAATTAATGAATGAAATGAAAGAAGAAAAACCCAGATGTGCTGCATGTGAAATTAAGAGGATCTAACAGAACTCAGTGAAGGTGGTCTGAACTCATTGCATGGAGCTAAGCATGGAGAGCCAGTTTCGTCTAGTGGTTAAGGCACCAGGCTAGAGATCAGGAGACGGTGAGTTCTGGTCCTGCCTTAGGCATGAAAGCTGCCTGGGTGACTTTGGGCCAGTCACTCTCTCTCAGCCCAACTCACCTCACAGGGTTGTTGTTGTGGGGAAAATAGGGGGAAGAAGGAGTATTAGGTATGTCTGCCACCTTGAGTTATTTATAAAGATAATACAGGTGGGATTTTAAAAAATCTTTTAAAAAAGTATGGATTTCATTATAAATGTAAGGAATAAAATGTATGTCTGAAAGAATGAATTATTGTCACCAAGATTGCCATAGATGCTTATGAGAATAGGAATTTATAAGTTGATGATAAATGCATATTGCATTCTAGTGAATGAGGAAAATGGAAGAACCCAGGATAAGTTTTAAAGAAAACTGAAATATTCTAACTGTATGTAATCCAAGGGAAAAAAGTTATTATTGCAAACATCATGAAAGGATGGGTGGGAATGAGACGAGAGAGTGCAGAAAAACACTGTTAGGCCATTTGGGGTCCCAAGAATGAATGAGAAAGGTGATTGGTAAATACCTTCATAGAAAAAGTTCTGTTTCAAATATAAGTTTTAAGCATAAGTCTACTCATGTGCTCACTTGGTAAAGGAATGAAATCTAAATGCATTATTGGTTTGGTTATTTAGATTGAAAGACTGAGAATTAGTGAAGAATAAAAGAGTGATGAGAGGTTCTGAATGTGGAACAGGCCATTGTTTGGTAGTGAAAAGATAAGACAAGAGAGTGAAAGTAGAAAAACTTGCAGGAATATCCGTATGGTATAAAAAAGGGACTAATCTCCCCCTGCCTCGGCCAAAGAATGGAAAGTAGATGCAAGAAAGAGGATGCATAAGTTGCTTGGAACTAAATGAAAAGAATTATAAAAGTGCCATAGAAGTGTATGGAGTTAGGACTTCCGGAGGAAGAAACGGCAGACTGAAGATGGCTCCATGAAAAGCAGAGCCAACACTTGAAATAAATGTCAAAAAGTTAAATAAGACTTTGATCTTAGAAAGTTATAAAGCGTCCAGATAAATTTGGAATAAGATTTTGGAATTAATTATAAAGAATCCTTCCCATGGGAAA